GCATGAAAAACCTCTGAGGGCAGTAGCTGAGATGCTGCTCTACAGATGGAACAGTTGGTTCTGATAGTTTTGTTTAATGAAATACGTAAACAGTTCATCAAATATGAAGACTTTTTTTTGTATCAGTGAAGCGTTAAATTTAGGCTTAATTTGATGTGTCTAAGTTAGAAAAAACAAATAGTTTCACTTCGTAGTTAGAAGCTGTTCAGATTTAAGCTGCAACTGAATTTAATACATTTTCTAAGTTCCTTGTTTTTGTAGCACCTCTCTTGGCTCTGAAGTACCTGAAAATAGTGTCAAAGTGCATATTTTCAGTGCTCATTTTGTAACAGCAGACCACAAAAACCCTGAGTTAACATTAGAAAAGCTGGGACCAGTTAGCTTAGCATAGAAACTGGAGACCAGCAACGGCCTGGTTGTGATTTAAAATATGCTCTTCTGTCTTTTTTACACATTAAATTTAAATACAGTATGCTAATTTGTGAGCTTTACAGAGGCTGGAATTCAGATTTTGCCACCGTTGTCTTTAGCGAGGCTACTTGTGTTCCTGTACTTCTATGTTAGCTGAGTAAGCTAAACAATCGCTAGTGCTAGCTTCATATTTAACAGAAGAATCAATCTTCTAAACCTGTGTGTGGGAAAACAAATATTATTTAGTGTGTACCAGAGAATTTCAAACTGGTAAGTAACAAATCCCCAAAATGCTCTCTCCATTGTTTTGTTTGTTTGCTAACTTAGCTCTGGATTTAAATCAGAATTTATTTATAAAGTGCTTTCTGTCAAAGTGCTGTACAAAGAGAATTTGGACCATTGTAGTCAAGATAAAACAAGCTAGTTGAAATTGTCATCTTAATGAGATATTGATTGAAATTTTCACAATTTGCTTTACATTTTCTATCCCAAACTAGTAAGTAAGAGAATAAAGACTAAGAAATGATTAAAATAAATGCCCAAATCTGAGCTCTTTAGCTCCTTTTTAAGTAACATAGGAGTGCTATAGTAAACAAAGACAGGTCTCCACCTGGCTAACTAGCTTGACATGAAATTAAACATTTTCCTGAATGTGAAAGTGCAGCTTCTCAAATTATATTAGTTCATTCTCTCGGCCCAATGTTCACAGAAACAGACGACTTGAATAGCCCGAGCCCAGGAGTGTCAAACTCATTTTCATCCTGGGCCACAAAAGCATTATGTTTACACTCAAAGGGCCAGTTGTAATTGTAAGACTGTATAAATGTAATGACTCCTTAACATA